GGTAGAATATATATGTGGAGTTACTTTCGGGAATAAAGGTTGGGGGGTTTGGTAAAAGTTTTCATAGTATGTAATAAAAAAGCAAGATATATATATCAAAGGGAAACTTTATAATGTTTTTTTTTGGGGTCAGGCAATGTTATATTCTTCCGCTATTGCAATTTGGCAAATGGCAAGTGCGTAGATTTACCCAAAAGGAAACAAAAAACAAAAAATCATACGGTGCTCAACGGAATCGTATAAAATAATTGATTTCTATATGCCAACTATCACGGATCCTCTTTGGCAAAATCAAAAGGTTTGCACTAGTCAATTAAGTGGTTTTCTGAGTCTATAATTCACATACGTATACCACCCAATTGAATTTGAATTATACCATGGAATAGAACTAGTTAGTACAAACTTACAAGATACATTATGGGATATCAATATCATACTATTCACAGCGTTTTTTCATTGTCAGTTCGCGATAATACTAGCGAGGCATTGCTAAACACAGTGGTTTTTTGTTTTGCTAAACATATATTGAATCGATACGTGTAAACTGTAATTATGTTGCATATATAGCATAGTAGAAGAAATTTGTCTGCTGTTTTAGCAAAAAAAATATTGGTTGTCAAAATTCGTCATTACTCGATTATTTTTATGTAGTGAATGGATTCTTTTTAACTTGATTTCAACATTTTCGTACCCAAATAACTTGAGATTTCCAACAAACCCAAATGGATTTTATATTTAAAATGGGACACCCCAAAAAATATAAATGGTCGAGAAAGTTGATGTAGCAAATTTTGGGAGTGTAACATGATTCAAGTGTGGGTTTAGCCAAAAAAAAAAAACATGACTCAAGAGTGGTTTTTTTTTTTTCCTCCTCAAAAAAAGAGACATTTTCTGAGATTACACTTTGAATTTGAAAAGCAAATACTTAAACTAGGGCATAAGGTAGCAGTTTGAGAATAATAAGCCTGTGTTAACAGTTAAGTGAACTGTAAATCCGATAGTGAAGTAGTAGAACAGAGGGAGTGTATCGGTAGAACAGGGAAAGTGTAGACTTGAAACACAACTTGAGGGAGTCACGGACCTGGGTGATTGTCAAATTGGATGTACCCAAACCACCCAGAAAGGTAGGTAAGATCTCTTCCATTTCTTGTTGCTGATGTTGTAGAATCGCTTACCTTTTTGTCTAATCCAGCAAGCTTCTGTTTCATAAGAAGTTGAACATCTTTAACCACACGATCAGTAGACTCGGATACTGAAGAGTGCAGTCTGAAGTTCCTCTCTCTCCATAATTCATAGACGTAACTTGTAATAGTAACTTGCATATCACATTTAACTTGAAGTTCGTAAAAGCATTATATTGGACTAGGGGAAAAAAATATAAAACGTAGATGTTGAACGGTGGGTTCATATGTAACCATTTAATTGGATCCTTGAGCAATTGTTTGTTCATATAAATAAAATATTATTTACGAGTATATAGAAGCATTATACTGGAATTCACATTTAACTTGAAGTTTTTTTTGTTTGAAACTAAAAATGTAATGAGCATTTAACTTAAAGTTCGTAGAAGCATTTTACTGGAATCAAAATTTCCATGAAAATTTATCAAATTAATTTATCAAGAGAAAATAAACCAAATTCTCAGGGAATTGATTCCAAAAGATTTTGGCTGTTTCATCCATTTCGCAAGACGTTTTGTCCCTTGGTGCACTAAAACCACAGTTTGATTTTAATTTTTGTTTTAAACAGATTTCTGATTATTCCATGTTAAAGTATTTAAATGATCATAAAAGAGTATTTAAATTGGAAGACTTCTATTAATGGGGAAAAAGTGTTTGGAGAATATTAGTTGAACCAAAAATGGCAAAAACCACTATTCAATTATTGCCATGTCTCTCCAACAATTAGCCCTTGAAAGTCGAAAGGGCCATTAAGAATCGAAGAAAATAAAAATTATATTATAATGCGGTATAAAAAAGAGAGATGTGAACATCCTGTTCAATAATAAACCAGATTAAATCATTATTTTTTAATGGCAATCTTGCATGACCACTCCTCATTAATATATTTATTGGCAGTTTTTATATATGAAACATGTGCGAAAGAGTTTTAGAGTTGACGATCTTATATAATATAATAGGGTTTCTCAAAATTCAAATAACGAGAGATTGCTATGTATCATCTAATTTTTTGACATTTGTCTTTTTAATTTATTTATTGAAAAGAAAAGAAAAATTAAGTGTCGTTTAAAATCTTTTTAGCAATTAATTCTAACAATTAAATAGCCAATTCTTATTTTTTATATAAATTAATTTTAACAAGTTATAATTAAGTGTTTTGTGTACATTTTTTAATTTTTATGTAAATTACAATATACTTTTTATGTATATTTATGTATAAAAAAGATATATTTTATTTATCAAATTCAGTAATATTCTATACATTTTTTTAAATTTTTTTTGCTTTCTATACAAGTAACTGTGATTTTAAAATAAACAAAAAATCACAAAATAAAAGCTTTAATAAAATGAGCATAACATGAAAAAAAAAGATGATGTGAGAAAACTAAAGAATAATTTTTGGATTTTTAGGGCTGATTGGAGAAATTTAGAATTTAACCGTTTAAAAAATATTTTCAGAGCTTCTAAAGTCAATTTACCAAATTAACAATCACCCTCTAATGCAATTGAAACAATTTATGTTGGATAAAGTAACGTTCCTAACGAAAACTCTCGAAAGAAAATTTTATTCCATCACAAATTGTAAATCTAGAAAAACAGAAATACTTCACCAATGAATTGATGTGAAATATAAAAATCACAACAAAATGATAAATAGAGTGAGACAAAAATACAAGGAGCAATTACAAAAATACCACATATGGGTGAACACTTTGCAATAATGCCACACACGGAACCACTTTTGCAAATCTACCACTTTTTAATGAGAAAGAGACAAAAATGTCTTCTACGTGAATCACATTTTAATGCAAAAATG